TGGGAAGACACTGGACAAAAATCGTACACGTATGGATGAGGACAGTGGTGGGGGAGGGGTAAGGGCAGAGGGTGGGGTGGGAACTGGGTGGAGGGGAGCTATGGAGGGAAAAAGAGGAACAACTGTAATAATCTGAATAATAAAGATTTAATTTTTAAAAAAGAAGTGTAAAGGAAGAGTTATGGTGCTTTGCATTTGTGGAAATGATTCATCTGGAGAGCTGATTGACTTAATGCAATACAGTGGACTTTTGCTGATTATCTTTACCAAGGACTGAATGGAGTCATGATTTAAACTTTATCAGAATGGATTGATGTTAAAGATGTTCCTGAAGGCGGGTGGGTCTTTCCCTCGGCAGAGGGCCCCATGGTGGGTGGTGATGCCGCCGCAGCGTTGGGGGAGCTGGTTTCTGGGGTACCGCAGGCCACTGACTTCCCGAACAGTTCCTCTCCTACTCCGAGAGCGGGAAGCAATGGAAGGCCCGTATGCAATTCGTCCTGTACCACCTGCCCGACTACCGCGACCCGCCTGAGGGCCCCAGCCATCTGGACCAGCTGCTGTCCCTCTCCAGGGTCTGGGCCAACCACCTCTTCCTGGGTTGCAGTTATAACAAAGACCTTTTAGATAAGGTGGTGGAAATGGCTGATGGGGTTGAAGGGGAAGAACTGCCACAGTTTACTACCAGAAATGAGTTAATGAGAAAGCATCCAAGCTAAGCTGGAAGATCCATCACATTTTCATTATCAGCTACAGGCTAGAAAGGGGGAATGTGACTTTGACCACAGAAGCTCTCTTACGACTCCTGGTATTACCAACCTGTAGGAAAGAGTCAGTTGGAATGAAAGTGGCGTTTTAAAAGGTCTCATTCTTCCAGTAGCTATCATTGTAAAAGTATGCATGGATATTTATGTATTTGTAAGTCATGCCTTTTAATTTTGTTTTTGAATATCAAACTTTTTATTAAAATGCATATTTTTTAATGTTAATGCAATAATGGCAGGTAATGGATTTTATTTGGATTTCTCAACAATGTACCCTTAAGAGTGAAAAAAAAAAGTTATTGAAATGGAAAAGCTATTGAGTAAATGATTTTTCTTTTCTTTTCAAGATGTTTTTAAAAGCACTGGTAGCTATGTAACTAACAACTGTTTTTAAAAGTAAGAACAAAGCAGTACTGCCACCCCAAAGATTTTTGGTATTAACATTATTAAGAAAATTAAAGGGATCTAGTAGAGTAAAACTTTTATCTCCCTTTCTCCCATAAGAGCATCTCAATTTCTGTGTTGCACTTGGACACAGGTTTCTATCATTTAGTCTCATTGGATATTGAGCGATGATAGAGGAAAAGTTAAAAACAAATTCAGAGAAACAAAAGTGTTTCCATGTGCCTTGCTTTTAATTTGGGAGCTGTATTAGTCTGCCGGGGCTACTGTAACGAAAACCACAGACTGTGTGGCTTAAACAACAGAAATTTACTTTCTGACAGTTCCGGAAGCTGGAAGTCCAAGATCAAGATGCTGGCAGGGTTGGTTTCTGGGGAAACGCTCCTCATGGCTTGCAGGCAGTCACCTTTTTGCTGTGTCCTCATTGGCTTTTTCTCAGTGTGGGTGCACTCTGGTGCCCCTTCCTCTTCTTATGGGGACCTATTGAATTGCAGCCCAACCTCATGCCCTCATTTAACCTTATTTATCTTCTCAACGGCCACATTGGGAGGTAGGGCTTCAATATATGGATTTTGGGGGGATACAATTTAGTCTATAAAAAGGGTGTTTACACACTATCCTTTCTAATCATCCATTGAGAAATATGAGATACTTTTTAAAAGGTGCAAAATATAAGCATGACATCTCACAGATCCATTCACTGATAAAGTATCCATGATGCCAGTCAAGTAATTGACACTTAGAGAAAGGGTGGTAATATTCAGAAGTGAGACATATAAGGAATATAAGGACTAACGTGAAATCCTTTTATAGCATTCCTAGTCCACCATTTCAGAAAGTATGTTCAGATGAATAATAGTCCTCACTGATTCTGCTTTCAAATGGTAGTTCTTCTTTCAATAAGTTTGGTGAACAACATGTCCAAAAATGTCCTGCGTGAAGATTCACAACGCTACGTGCTCTGAGAAATGCACAAAGTCCACAGAAAATTTCATATTAACCTAGGTTCCGGTTTTCACTCCTTGTTGAATTATGTGATTCCCAGAGGTATTTCTGCATAAAATGCACTGAAAAAATATCCCAACTTAAAGTACCATTGCTCTAAAGCCCAATAAACAGATTCAGATCTGTCATTAAATTCTAATCTTCTACTTGATGGCTTACCTGCACTATAAGGAAGTATGAATGGTTAAACTTCCTGCTTATTGTATTGTGGCTATTTCAGAGCTTTTGTCTGTGGGGAATTTTAAATGTGCAAACCTTTCTGTAACTCAACTTTAAAAAGTAAAATGGAAAAGGAAAGTTTAATACCGCAGAATGAAAAGAAGTGTCAGAATGGAAATTCACTATTTATGGTGAATTATCTTGCTTTTACTGGCTGCAGTGAAACTTTTGAGGTTAAATAAACAGTTTCCTGGGATTGACTGAGTATGCTTCATTTGTACATAAACATGCTCAAGAACCATAAGGATATTAGAGGTTTCAGAGTGTTATTTACATTGAACAAACACACACATTGTATCTGTAGATATTATTTATTCAACATTTGTCATGCATTTCAATGAGTAAAAATCACATGTGCATAGAAATCACTTCCCTCAGAATCAACAGTCAGAGATTTCTTGTCGTCTTCTGAGAAGAGACCTGGAAAAGAGAAAGGAGTATCTGAAGCGTTCAATGCCATTCAAGTTCAGATACTGAATAAACCGGCTGTCAGTCAAAAGTCAGATTTATTAGGGGAAAAAAACAGCTTGTAAGTAAACATCAACTCTGTGCAGTTGGGGGAAAAATGAAAAACCGAAAGCCCAATGCACTAAGTCAGGGGCAGCTGTAGAATGCTTCTGACATTGCTCTTCCTCCAAGGTCTGGACGGATTTGATGGGGAAGTAGAAGGGTTCTTTCTCTTCTTGGACCTGCTCTCCTTAGATATCTAGAATGCTTTATGCTAACCTCCAGGAAAAAACTTTGTTATTTATTTCTATTTTGTAGATCACTTGAAATGCTATGAAGCAGATTTTTGTATGGTACAGAGATTATGCATTTTTAAACCTTCATTATTCAATTTTTAACACCTGGACTTATAGCAAAAATTTTAATAAATAATATCATAAGAATAGATAAAGTATTTTTTAAAATCACTAATATATTTTAATAATGGAAAGCTAATTGTTAAATGTCAGAGAAAACAAAATTACCTGTCTTAAAATCATTTATTCATTCTGTATATGTGTAATCTGCCACTTGTATTTCCTCTATTAAAGGATTATTTTAAAGTCCCTACATTAAGTAAAACATTATATGGAAAAAGAAAAGAGAGAAAATGTTTTCAACCGGCATTTATACATTTTGAACGGTATAGCTAAAAGTTACCGAGCCCTGTCCTATTTTAAATTTTTTCACATTTTACTTTCATATTTTAAAAGGAAGAGATCCAAAAGATAAATATGAAAGGACTAGAGGCCCGATGCACAAAATTCGTGCAAGGGCCTTGGCCCCTGCCGCTGCCACACGCGGCCACAGGCCTCTGCCGCCTCTGCCTCGGTCCCCGCCCACTGCCACAGCTTTGTTTGGAAGTAAGGAAGGACGTCCTGTCTAAATAGCATATTACACTTTTATTATTATAGATTATTATTCATTCCAGAACAATTATATGAATACTCCCCTTAGGACTGAGAAATAACTATCTGAAGTCAGGGCATCCTGACTCTAGCAGTTAATTTGAAAATTATTTTATTATTTTTTTCAATAACTATAACACTTTATTGAACTTTTCCTAGTGTAAGTTGCAATCAAGCATTAAGAAATATGAAATGTAAGTTATTTCTCTAATGTATGCTGTCAAGTACTTCCCTGCATTTACCAATATAAAGCAATTAAACTGTTTTCTATTGTTTTTATGATTTTCTGGTAACTTTATTTCTAAGCTAAAAAGTAGTAATAATAAACCAATAACTTTTTGTAGATTCTCAAAATAGAGAATTTAACAGATTTTTTTATCATCAAAATTAATTCTTTATTTATTCATTCATTCAATAAATATTTTCTAAAGACCTCAGAACCAGCCTTTTCCTTGTAGACCAAATATATTGTTCTAGTTCTTATATTTTTATCTATTAAATATATTCAGTTAAAATTTATTATTTAGAATGACCAGATATAACTTTAAAATTATTTTGGTTCTTACAATTTTTAAGCTGAGATTTTCATAGCAAATAGCAAAAGCAACTAGATATTTTTCACTATAATAATGCCTGGGAAATATTCAAAAGCACATTTTGCTATAAAGTGTTCTTGCAATTAAAATGGGTTAAGTCTTTACTTTTATATTACTTTAAAAGGAAAGAAAACAAAGATCAATTGACTTTTATCATTCTGAAAATACTAATCAGTTTGCTTTATTCTTGATAAACATTATATCTTAAATATTAATATTCTGCTAAAGGATATTTTTGAAAAATACTTTTGTTTCTGTTATAGTATTTGCTTTATTTTCCATCCTAATGTCTCTCTGTATTACATTCTGAATATTATTTTTCCTAATCTTTAATTCTGATTTTCTTTTCAATCTCTGTTTAATCTTTTATAAACAACTCTATATTATTCTTAATTTCAATTGCCATATTTTTCAGGCATCAAATTTTCATTTGTTTGTTTTTTTCTTATTTTGAAATGCTCTGATGGTGTTTTTTTTTTGTTTTAGTTTTTCAAGGAAAATTTAATAAGAACGATAACATATGCTTGTCTAACATGTATTTTTATATAACTGAAGCTAAAGCAAAACATTCTGTTCATTGGGTGAAAACAGCCTGCTTTATGTGTATACCAGTATACTGATGCCTTTAAAAAATGCTGCAATTATAATTTCTAGGAAATTTGAATAGGTGCCAGTGTTCTCTCCTGTCTTCATATGGGAAGAGGAAATTTCTTTAAAAATCATTTGAAGGTTGGACAAAAATTCTGTACTTGTATTTTTAAAATCACTCTGTATAGTTTTCATGATTGAGATGATACAAGGGATATATTTACATATATAGTGCTTGGTTGTTGTTGATTATCACAAACATGTTGTCACTTAGCAGAAGACATGTTTTAATGAGAAGATTTTAGTTATTTGCAAGTAAATAGGTAAATAGCTATTCACCATAAAATTTTGACTGCATTCCAGAATCTGTACATTTTGACCATTGGTGTTGCTTTTTGAGTAAGCACAAACTTTTTGAAAACAGCTTATCATTTAGATATTGTTCATTATTTTACGTCTTTGTAATGCATTCTTTGTAAGTGATTTCTAAATATGCTTTTGCAATATTATTTTTCAAGAAATTAGACAGTTATTTGGCACTGTATTTGCAAAGATTGGCAGTTAGGAAGGGTATCTTTCAAGTTACTCAGCTTGAATAGTCAATCATGTGCATATGAGATGTCAGCTTCATTATTTTACCTCTTACCATTACATAGTTTCATAGAAGACACATAACTATACCTTGTTAACTAACATACACCAAATATTCTATGAATAGACATATAACAAGAGTAGTAATTTTTTTCTATTTTTCTTAAATTAAAGAAATGATCTATACAAAAATCAATATTGCTGAGTTGCTATTAAATCCTCTAGGCTATAAAATAGAGGAACTTGGTATTAAATATATTATATTACATACTTATATTAGTGCTGCATATGATATGTTAATATTGTAAAATACTTCCAGATTTATCTTCTGAAAGAATGAGGGCAAGTATAGTCTACTCCAAACTTGGGAGAAGCTCAGACACAGGTCTTTTGGACACATACTCAGAAGCAGATAGACCTGACAATACCACTGCTGACAATGTGACAGTCTGACCTTAAACAAATTAATTGGAAGTTACACCACATAAAGGTGTGTCCACTGCTTTACTAGGTATTGTGAGGCAGAGAAGGATCTATTAGCCCTCTAGCCCTAATGATTCTGCGGGTCGGTTAATGAGATGTAAACCCAACAGCCAATTCAGAGAAGCAAAGGTGATAGTGCGGATAGAAAGAGGAAACATTACTTTTCTTTATCTTATTCAATTTTCCAACTAAGTAGTGTAAATACAGATGGTTTCTCCAAATGCATTTTATAATTGTGCTAAAAATGAATTTTCTAGTTTTCAGTAAGAAGTTACTAATTTCACTAATGGCATATGTTTTTCACCTTTGGTATCTTGCTTCATAATTTCATGTTTAATGGCATTATTTTTAAAAAAAACAACAGATGGTTATTTCAGTGACCACTGTATTTAAATATAAACTACCAAGAAGATATGAAATGTCATATTGTTTTGACTACTTTTTAAATTATTTTTGTCATCATTGTAAGAAAGCTTCTGGACTGGAGAATTTAGGGGAAGGAATCTATAGATACTTTGCAAAAAATAAAAGCATGCATATTATCTGAACTTTAAATTGGAGAGAATATTAGGTCAACACCGTCAATACTTCCTATAATTATCTGTTTAAGTTGATACTTTTGGCTGCTGGATTTTTCACATAACATCCGGAACAACCCTTGAAATGTCGTTGTAACATCCAGATGTTCTCTGTGTTTTTTCAGACATATAAGACTCTCACTGAGCTTGTTAAACTCCTGACCAAATTGTTTTTTGTGTTTTTGTTTTTGTTTTTTTGTTTTTTTACCATGAAAGCTATTCATAGTGTCAGTCCATCAGTCCATTAAACCCTGACAGTAATTTCAACAGGTACAGAACTCCAGCTATAGCTCACTTTATTCAGCTGTGTTTCTCAGTCACTTGAACTTATTTTTTAAATTTATTTTCTTTTAACTCTCCAAAATCCTTTATACTATCGAATTGAAACATTTGAAGGCAACCTAATACACAAACTCAAGTGTGCTCAGTGCAAGATGTGCAGAGAGCCTTGCTTCTCTCCGGCAGCTGTGGGCAATGCTGTAAAATGCCCCTGCCTCTTCTGTGTCCTGGTTGAAGTGGCAAGTCCGAGCTTCTGCTGAGGCCAGGGCTACAAGCCCGAGCTCTCCCTCTGCTTGAACAGTATTGCCCAGCACCGAGGAGAGCTCAGCACCACTCCAGTCACTTCTACCCGCAGACCCACACAGTGCCCGAGAAAGCTGGCACGGGTGAACTCTGAGAGCCTCAGGAGTTCTCTGTTCTTCAAATTTCTAAATCAATATTTGAATAGATGTGGTTAGTTAAGTGTAGGATATTTGTGTTTGCTTCATTTAAACCAAAATAGCTAATAAAAATGCTACTGTACTTTCTTTGATATTTTTCTTCACACCAGCTGTCTATCCTGAGAATTTGGACTCATAACTTTTGTGAGCAAGTACACCATGGGATTAAAAAACATGGAGTTTCTAAAATTCTTTCTTGGTTTAGCAGATTTTCAGATTTAAAGTACATAATTTGTTGTTAATTCATAGAATGCTGCATATACATACACTAGAAATCTAATCAAATGCATCAGTTTTACCTGCACATTTTAGGTAATCGTAAGAAACGTGAGCATTCACATGAAAAAATAGATTGAAAGAAGAGGGACACAGAAAACTTTTTTTGTTTCGCATCACAGTGCTTTTCTATATTTTTGTGGCATTTTGAGACCAGCAGAAAAGGAAACATTTTGAATCCAGTGGTGTCTAAAGTGTATTATATATGAATGCACGACACAGGGAATTCTGGTTGATTAGCAGAGCATGCAGGTTTCAAACAATGGAAGCATGGGTGCACCTGTTATTTTGCACGGAGGATTCATGGAACTCTTCTAACTTTCTATGGAATTCTTTCTAACTTTCAGATCTTTGGAATCAAGTGAAACCATAACCAGAAATTATATTTTTAATGAGGTGAGTAGTGTTAGCTCTGGGCAGCAGAATAAACAGGCACAATCTTTGATTGCATGGGATCTGTGAAAACATTACTAAAAATATAATCAGTTGGCAAACAAACTAATCTAGAGTGGATAAAAATTTTTAAAAAACTTTTAATCTAGAATAGGTAAATGTTTTTTAAAAACTTTTTGTTGTGAAGTAGAAGTAAACGGGTATGTGGAATCTGACTCCATGGTGTGGTGATGTATTTGTAATTGCCAAAGATGCCATGCTTAAAATTCCATTGGCTTAATTGGTTTGGATTAGAGAGGAGAGAAGAAAGATAATACCTAGCCAATCAACTGTCCTAGGGCAGTCCTCATCAAAATTAGCATATTTTTCTGAAAATGAGACTCAAGTCCTCACAAATATATGAGTCAGTTCTATTTAATACACAGCTTAAGACTTTGGGGTTTTCTTTCCCTTTTTAATTGGGGAGGATTCATATTTATGATAAATATAAGAAGAATACTTTGGTTAAGGCAGTCAACATTCTGAGCATTAATTTTTTCATGAAATAAGCAAACATTTGAATTTTTCCCATGCCATGTGCCTGCTTCCCATTTTTATGGCAGTTGCTTTTTAAAAGAGTTTCTTTTTAACTGTTGTTTTTCTTCTTTTATATCCTGGAGGGAAGGAGAAAACAAGCTTGTATTTTTCTTTCCGTTTGGAAAGAGAAAAGTATTCCCCCCCAAACAAAAATATTGACAGTCAAGAGGTCCAGAGAAGATCAGTAAGCCAGAGCCGTCACAGACATAAATAAGACTCCTTTTTTGGCTCAAGGGATGTAAGCAGATATATGCAGTACAGCCTCCATTCTCAGTGTTATTTTCCGGGGGTGACACTTCTTAAAGTGACTGGCAGAATTTTGTTATTATCAGTTAACGGTATACATGCGGCTTCCTCCACTATATTAGTAATTATATTATTATCCGGGGAACTTATTAATAAGAAGAGGGAAATTATAAGAATTAATTGTCTCTGTCTTCCTTAAAGAATATGTCCTCTCCCTAACTGGTTTGGCTCAGTGGATAAAGCGTCGGCCTGAGGACTGAAGGGTCCCGGGTTCGATTCTGGTCAAGGGCATGTACCTTGGTTGCAGGCACATCCCCAGTGGGGGCTGTGCAGGAGGCAGCTGATCGATGTTTCTCTCTCATCGATGTTTCTAGCTCTCTATCCCTCTCCTTTCCTCTCTGTAAAAAATCAATAAAGTATATATTTTAAAAAAGACTAAATGACCATGGATTTAGTGACAAATGTTTTTTGTTTTTTTTTAAAAAGAGTATGTTATCATAAGTTAACAACCAGTAGAGATGTGGGTACATGGTTGAACAGTATTTACTTGGAGTTTATTTAATAAAAACAAATAAACAATTAAACACCAGAAAGTTCAAAGCAATTTGGGAACAACTAAAATGATATTATGATTGTTTCAAAGTTGCTTAATTCCAAAAAGTTACAATTAGCCTATAAATCAAAATTGAACAGGTGGGAACCAAAATTTATGTTTACCTAAATTTTTAGGATTAGAGACACTGAGTAAAAGGAAATGAAGTCTGATACTCCTGTAGGGAATAAGAAATTTAACATCCCTATCAAGGCATTGGTGTTTGATATATGAATAGAGAACAATTTTCTTAGACAATAGACTCCTTTAGTTCAATACCCAGGCACTAGAAATACAAAGATAAAAAGCCAGTATAGCATTTGCTCTTCAGTAGCTTATAGTCTAGTTGGGATAAATGTAATAATCTATAATAAAATATGAAAATGCTAAACATAACAACAATATACCTTGGAAATACAGATGTCAGTCATGTTTGGCCATATTTCCTCAAGATGGTGCCTGGAATGAAGGATGCAGTGAATAAACGTTAGTAATATTGTGTTCAAGGTGAGAGAAAAAGAGGCTCTGTTATTGCTAGCAGTTTATCATCACTCATTTTATTAATATGCTTATAATATTTTCTGAAATATCTGGGAATGAGTCATTATCAGTGGAAAATGAGAGTAGGAAAACACCTATCATTCACTTTAAAAATAGTCTGTGGGCACAGCAAAGAAAAATGTTTAATGTGATTATATACCGAGTAAAAAAAATAAAGTTGACTCTTGGAAAGAAATGTTCATATAATCAGAAAATGAATGAGTTTATTCAGAATAATTGCCCTAAAAGATCTATATACTTAAAAACAAGTTAACATTAATTGTAGAATTTTCTTATGTGATTTTATATCTATATCCATGTAGTTATTTGGTAAATATCACTGATTAGTAAAATCCTAAATGAATTTTAAGATTTTATCATAAATAAAAATTAAGGGGAAAAAAATGACAATTTCTTTTTAAACCGAGCTATAGTAAAAGTCTGATAAAAGAGAACTAAGGTCAGATTTATGGTCATCTCACTTCTAACATCTTGGCATGGTATCTGCAGGTGATACTTGCATATGTATGCATGCATATCTTTGTAAACACTTAAGATGTATTTAATCTGTATACTTATATGACATTTAAATGACATTAGAAATAAAATGCAATGTCCAGTTCCATCCTAAAAGAACAACAGAAGAACTAATAGCTGATAACTTTTTGAAAAAAAACTATAAAAACAAGAGGGAGAATAAAAACTCATATTTTATAAAACCAAAAAAGTACTTTTTTAAAATCTGCAATGTAGAAAAAGTAAACTCTCAGGAAAATCTCAAATCAATGCCAAAACAAAGAGATGTATGGGGTCATATACTGTAATCATTTGGAGTAGTTTATCTTTGCAAATCTATTATAGTTAGGCTTATGTGTTTTCTATTATTTTGTTTTTTATTCCATCTTATCTGTTTATATTACAGCAGCTTACCATGTTATTAAATAGTTTTACAAAGTATAATAGGTGCATAAAATTTCATTCAAAGAAAACCCTAGTTCACCGATATTTAGTACATTTCTTAATGTTTGAGTTATTTTATCTAGTTGTGCTTCATCTGCTCCTCATATATCAGCAGAGTCTGTGTTGCTTGTCTCTACTAATGAAAGTCAGTAGCTACAAGTTTTTCTTGATAGATGCAGGGCTTTCTTTTGAGAGTAGAAGTCGGGAGGAACAGAAAATGCAAGAGGAAATAGACGCGGAAGGAAGTTGGAGCTGTCACTAGAAGTTGGAGCCTCATTTCATACTGAGATGGTTGATGTAGTGGCAGAACAGAGTTTAATGAGAATGCTGAGTTGTATACCTACTTCATACTATTTGCTTTATGTATATCATCTCATTCAATCTTTTCA